CTTTCATGTATTTGAACTGTAACGGCCTAGATCCACCGCTAGCAGATATTGTTCTCTTTGGGCTTTCCCTTTCGAGCTTCCTCTCAAGGCTTTAAAACGCGCCTACTAGGGGAAGGTTTGGTATTTTGTTCTCCTCCCCAACCAACGTGGGACATCACATGAACATTCTATAGAAAACACTCGTAGAACCTTCCTTTGAACTAGGCATAAATTGAACTACTATTCCTAAGGCAATGGAAATGTCAAGTTTGTATGGACCAAACAAATCAAACTACCCAGCAAGTCTCTAAACCACGGTGACTCAATTTTTTGGTTTCACTCACAGGAGAATCACCGGCCTTTAAACTTATCTGGATTGGACTCTGTTTTCATCATGAAGTTGAGGGGTGTTGTTAGGACTAATGAGTAGTGGGCCACTTCAAATTCACATCTGAAAAAGTAGTGAAGAAGTTTCAACTACTTAGATTACCCATTATAGAGAGATCATGGTAACCCAACTTTTGGTTAAAGGAAAGGGTATGTTCCAAGGGGTGATGTTGGTGCTGTGCTACCAGAACTAACAAGCTGAAGGACGACCGATTTATTCCTACCACTAGGCAGCGCAACACTCACATTATCCTATGATTACAGAAGTTGTCATGGGATCAGTGAGCGTGGACTGGGGAAAGTTGATCACGAAGTTTCAAGACGTAAGCAACTGAAATGTGAATGAACAGGTTACCGACAACCTGAACAACCATTCTACTCTAGTTCTAAATAGAAGGAAGAAACAATAAGAGTACAGGAAATTACTATCAGCAAATTCAGATGCAACCGCCAGTCCATCATCTGCGACATTCAACAAGACTCCAGCGAGCAGGCCGAAAGATGAGAAAACCACACCTCTCCGATCAAATACTAGCTTGAAACATCCTTCAGTACTGTCCACTACATAAGAAATACAAACAATTACTCAAAAAGTACCAACAAGTTAAACGTTTGCAGCGATAAGAAAGTCCGAAATGAAACAAATACCGGAAGAAGAAGGAGAAGAAGGCTCAGAATCGTGGGGAAAGTGAACGAAATGAGGTCCGCGCCAGCTCTAAATCAAAATAGCAGAACGCTTTATGCAGCACAAGGAACCGAACAGTTAAAGCAATCGAGATTGGGAACGAAGTGGAGAACGTACCGTGTTCAAAGAGTTCCTCCCGAGGAAGAGAGTGGGGAATTTGAGAAGAGACCCAGTAGCGGGAATGGACGCCATGGGGTTGAACAGTGGAACAAACGCCCCGCAAGCGCTCCGCGGGAAGATAACGGCCTCACCTTTGTACCTCACTGCCTCTCCGCCTTTTATCCGTTATTTTTATGCGTCCTTTTTTATTTTATTTTTAATTTTTTCATGATAACTTTTTCTTTAGGGTAAATTATTTATATATTCTCACATTTCATAAATATTTCAAAATAAACACGACAATCAGACATGATAGTGACTAAAATGCTTATCTTACGACACGTAGTTGAAGCCTACTAAAGGACCCCTCAAAATTTCAATCCCTAAGAACTCGGAGTAGGCGTCATGTATTACATCATAAGAGTCTGAAAAAAAACATTTTAAAAGAGGAAAAACAGGCTCCCCCAGTTTTTATTAGCTTTCTCCTTGGCCACCATCACACTTTGATGATGTTCAACTGGGAAGAGTTTTAATGGCTGCTGGCCGATTTGAGGGAGTTGGCCTTGTCTTGGAGAGTATTAAGCAGGCTGTCAAAGCTCTTCTTGAAAGAGTCCACTCCTTCAACTTCTAGCTGACTCCCAACTTCACTCCACCTTATTCCCAGCTTCTCAAGTGCACTGTATATCCCTTCCGCCTCTGATACGTTTGAATCGATTGTCCTCGAAACCGTTCCATGGTCTATAAATGCTCCAAGAGCTTGGTCCGGCATGGTCGAAACCTGAAGAAGGGGGAGCCATGAATGCCTGTTTAATCAATTTGATAGAGTGGATATGTGATCAGATGACTTACAGTGTCGGGTCCAATGAGCGGAGCAACGTATAAGGTGTCGAGGTACGCGGGGTTCTTAACACTTGTAGATGCCCAGAGAAGCCTTTGCTTCTTTGCACCCTTCTTCACCAGAGCCTCCCATCTTGGGCCTGAGAACTTCTTCTGGTAGAGCTGATAAGCCAGGGCTGCTTGAGCAACTGCAGCCTAAGATATTCAACGTTGTTCGATATATCGGTCAGCAAACGTTATAGTAAACTTCCATATGTGAAGAATTAAACTCTGGAAATAATGATGCAGTCACCTTTCCTCGCAGATCAAGGGCCTCCGGTGTTCCAATTTTCTCGAGCAATTTGTCGATAAGGCTGTCCACCCGACTTACAAAGAAGGAAGCTACACTTGTGACTCTAGATAGGTCGCTCAAGCCCGAGGCCTCAAGTCCATCCAAGTAAGCATCAATGACTGCCTCATATCGAGCAACGGAGAATATGAGCTGCGGGAGAAATCCGGAAACAAATGTTAATGGAGGTCGGATAAACACATCGAAGTATGCAACGTAAAAGAAACAAGGATGCATAGAGAGAGAACTTACAGTGACATTGACACTTATGCCATTTGCAATAGTATCCCTAATTGATGGGATGCAAGCAGCAGTAGCAGGGATCTTGATGTACACGTTCGGGCGGCTAACAACTTTGTGTAGCCACTTTGCAGCCTCAACAGTTCCTTCGGTGTCATCAGCAAGCTTTGGAGATACTTCGACCGAAACATAGCCATCACCAGCATCTGTTTGATCATAGATAGGCTCGAAAAGTTTGCACGCATCTTGAATATCCTTCACCACGAGTTCCCAATATGCACTTTCGATATCTTTTCCCGATTGAACGAGTTCTCTGAAAATTCAATTAATACAATCACCATCCATGAAATGTAGAAAAGATCAAAAAGACAGATATCAATAACTTTTTATTACAAAAATACCTGAATTGGTCGTTATAAGCATTTGAAGATGAAATAGCTTTCTGGAAAATCTGTAAGAGGATAAAAGCAATGAGTTCAAGAATTCTGGATAGCTGATAACAACATTACATGATTTTGAATACTCACTGCTGGGTTGCTAGTTACACCTCTTACACCTTTGGAAATGAGAGGAAGCAAGTCGGTGACAGGGCGGCAGAGATTATCGTACCATGGAGACTGTCCTTCCTTTTCGTAAAGATCATGAAGCACCGTTCTCTTCGTTGGGATTCCATTTCCATCACCTTGGGAACACTTGACACTGTAATAACAACATGAAATTCATAGCCTCACATTAGTTCCCAAACAAGCATCGCACAAACAAATGTTAAGCATAGGCAATCCTCCAAGGTTAAGAGTGTTTCTATCAATGCATCCCGAGGATTAGGACAAACGCGCTTTGGGAGCACGGATTGTCCACAGATGGCTTAGAACAATCCCACGTCAATTTTACAACAATAATGAAAATAACATAATCATTATAAGCTAGAAAATCTTAAGGTTTCTGTTCAACTTCAAAGTCCAAATCCAATCCCAATTATCAGAAACTTCAGAGTACTTGAATGACTTCAGTCCAAACTGCCCATGTTTCTTGGATCATTATCATTTCAAGAACTGAGCAATGAATCGGAGTTAAAGAAATTAGCTAGAAATCCTACTTCGATAAGAATTTGAGAAAACTACAAAAATAGGTAAGAGCTAAGTTCTAGAGAAGGATCAAACACTCCTCCCCCATGCTAGATTAATAGACATGAAAGAAAAACAAGAAATCAATGATGAGAATACAATCAAACAATAAGATCTAAGAGAATCCACAGAAACACACAGATCCTACAAATGCGGTTCTACCACCACAAAGAGTGTGCGAAATGGAAAACAGATGATCAAGAATTCATCGCCACACATAAAAAAAATCGAAGCAGAAACAGACAAAACAAAAACATCAACAGATCTTCGTAGTATAAACAGAAAGAAACCCAAAACAAAAAATTGTCAAAAACCAAAAAGCACCGATCAAAATCACCCAAAACGCATAAAATAAAAATCCACAAAGAAGGGGAAAAGGAAGCATACACCAAGGAGCCCGTCAAGTGCGATGATCTCCGAACGGACAATCTAGAGGCGAAGAGGTTGAGGCAGGAATCGGAAGAGGGCCGGAAGGCAATAAAGGAGTTGGAGGGGAGGGAAGATCGAGAGTTGCGAGAAGAGAATGGAGAGGGAGCGGAGATGGGAGTGGAGAGCTTAGAAATGGAAGCCATACGAGCGAGCGAGGGAGGTATGGAAGGAAGAGGAACCGCGGAGGAAAGAGAGCAGAGATGGGAAATTAAAGAACAGATAAAGATCAAAGCGGAGGATGAAATATATGCTTCAGAGTTGGAATGGAGCTGAATTGCATTGCAAGTCCGGTTTGAGTTTGACCCAAACCAGCAGCTGTTTTCAGATTTCCGTTGTGGCGGCCAGTAGCTGACACACTGCGCCAACCAACTACCCCCAAATTCTACCAAATTATTTAAATATATATATATTTTTAAAAAAATAATATTGATTTTTTATTATTCCATTATTATTATTATTTCTCAAAAATAAGATTACATTTCTAGTTTTGTTTTAGTTTTTTCATATATTAAATTTTTAATTTTTAATATTATATCTATTTTTCTTTAGCATTTATTATATTATATATAGGAGGGTCTTGTTCTATGACTCAAACTGGCGGTTCAAGATCTTGGTTTAGCCATTGCAAAATCGACTCCAACCGAACATAGGGTAAACCCGATCGAGCAATGTCAATTCAGTCGTTTAGGGTCTATGAAATAGGCTTCCATGGAAGGAAAAATGATTGAAGGGCTGCTGGAGGAGAGAAAGAGGCATAATGTTTTGTATCCCTTCAGATGCCCCAAGGGCTGGCGGCGGATGTAACTTGCATTGCTTCAACCATAGCCCTTCAGATGCCCCAAAGCCATTGGAAGAATCAGGGTACCACATTTCGAAATTACAATTAACCTCATTTTCTAAAACGATTTTATAAGAACGAGGCGGAGGCTAAATCATACACCATTGGTGCCACTGGCAACCCGACTTTAAGTTGATTGACTTACCCGTAAACGAGAGCAAGTACCAATAATAAGCCCTTGTGAGTTTCAGAGACCGAGGCTAAATCATACCCCATTTGTGCCACTGGCGACCCAACTAACTTTGAGTTGACTGACGAGCCAGTTTACCTACCAAGGCTTCAGGTCCCCTACAGGCCCTGCAGTCCAATTCAAAATCCTCTCACCTGGCTTCAAGTAAATTCTCCTATCCTGCACCAACTTTCGAGCCAATCCATTCAGAATCTGGTGGAAAGCATCGCCTGACTGGGCTGGTTGAGGGAACATCATAGCTCGTTTCATAGACGGATTTGCCAGCAGTCTTTGCTTCCTTAATATCACGTCAGGCGGTATGGATGTGAGGATCGTGTCGAGGTTGGGGACATCTTTTTCGTCTACAAACACGCCAATTTCTTCCCAGGGAATAGCATCAGCAAAAGGTAAGACAATGTCATCAGCTATGATAACAGGGATGCAACCGAACACCACTGCCTCCACCAGCCTCGGACTCCATGGCGCCCACCCGAGAGGACATAAACAGAATATCGCTCGTTGCATATCTTCATAGTAAGTTGTAGGATGATCGGTAGAGATGTCGAAGAGGGCATTGTTTTTAAAGTTCTCCCACACTGCTGCTCTTGCACCTCTGCAAGTTACATTAAATCGTCAAACACAGAGTCGAGTTTCGGTTTCTTATTCGTGTCATTTTCAACACTGTTTCATATTAAGAAGGTAAAAAACAAGAAAGGCAGAACAGACACACACACACCTTGCATAATAACCACCTTCTGGGTCATTGTTAACATCGTAAAACAATCCCCGGAAATAGACGAAGATAGAACGAGGAGTTTCGGGGGGGATCAGATGGGATTTCATTTTCTGGGGAGGACAATATGGAGGAATAGTGATGGAACCTTGATTCAAGCAAACATGATGCTTTTGTCCAAAAGTTTGAACCAAAGTTGCACGCTGAAGTAAGGGAAGAATTCCACGATCAATAGCCTTCTCTTCCTACCACAATACAACAATCAAGAGGGATGATGATTCATATGCTTGAAGAAAGGAAAAACTATCAGCATACTTATGAACTGATATGCTCAACCTCCCTTGTTTCCCAAAATGTAGCAAAGGCAAGTATTAGATCATTGCTAGATCCAAAATTTTAAGTAGATATATTATGATCTGAAAATACTAGTCGTAAAGCACTAACTTGTGGGTTTAGAAATTAGCACAAGCCTCCACAAGTGATTATTAATATTGAATATGAAGTGGGAGAGAAATGAATGCGAACATTGGATCGCATGCTCTGATACCAAAAAACTAAAAAAACTTAAATTTAGTGTGAGATTCCCACGTCGGTTGGGGAGGAGAGCGAACATTCTTTATAAGGGTGTGGAAACCTCTTCCTAGTAAACGCGTTTTAAAAACCTTGAGGGGAAACTTGGAAGGGAAACCCCAAAGAGGACAATATCTACTAGCAGTGGGCTTGGGCTGTTATAGTTAGTATCAAAGTTAGACACTGAGCGATGTGTCAGCGATGAGGCTGAGCCCCAAAGGGGGGTGAACACAAGGCGGTGTGCCAGCAAGGACACTGGACCCCGAAAGGGGGGTGGATTGGGAGGCCCCACATCGATTGGAGAAAAGAACGAGTGCCAGCGAAGACATTGGCCCCAAAGGGGAGTGGATTTTGAGATCCCACATCGCTTGAGGAGGAGAGCGAACATTCTTTATAAGGGTGTGGAAACCTCTCCCTAGCAAATGCGTTTTAAAAACCTTGAGAGGAAACTCGGAAGGGAAACACCAAAGAGGACAATATCTGCTAGTAGTGGACTTGGGCTGTTATAGTTGGTATCAGAGTCAGACACTGAGCGATGTGTCAGAGATGAGGCTGAGCCCCGAAGGGAGGTGGACACGAGGCGGTTTGCCAACAAGGACGCTGAGCCCCGAAAGGAGGTGGATTGAGATGTCCCACATCAATGGGAGAAAGGAACGAGCACCAGCAAAGACGCTGGGCTCCGAAGAAGGGTGGATTGTGAGGTCCCACATCAGTTGGGGAGGAGAACGAAACATTCTTTATAAAGGTGTGGAAACCTCTCCCTAGCATACACGTTTTAAAAACCTTGAATGGAAGTTCGAAAGGGAAAGCCCAAAGAGGACAATATTTGTCAGCGGTGGGATAGGGCGGTTACATTTATGATAGATTTTGGTTTTCATACAAACATTCCACTCTTGTGAGCTTGAAAAAGAGTATAAGATGAACAAGTGAGTATGAATATTAATGATAAAGGAAATAACATTCCAAGATATGTGTAATCTTGTGTACATATGGTGTTATTGAGAATGAGAAGGTAAGTTAAGTTAAGTTACCTGATAATGAAAGCAAGCTCCAAAGTCATGAGGCACAACAAAGAAGTGATCAGCACCCTCAGTTCTATTCCAGTAAGGCCAGTTAGAAGAGATAAGCTGAATGGCGCTTCGCATCATTCGTGGGGATTTGAAGGGCAATGGCAAGCCATTGGGGGTGAGGTCACAAGTGACATAGATCGGAGTATAAAACCAATCCGCTTCATCAGGGTTCACAGTTCTGACAGGACTGTTTAACAGGAACCTATGCATGTATATCTCAGCAGCAAACATATGAGTTAGACATCTTTGATCCTTTTGAAGAATCTTCTTATTGTATTTGCTTGGAAGATCATAAACATACACTTTCAACCTCCCAATTGGGTTGTCTTCTAACACATCTCCAGCACTCCCTGCATCCATACCCCAACACTTACGGATCAATTCTAGCTCTACCGGTGGGGCGGTTAGGAATCACAACTCTCCACAATGGTATGATATTCTCCACTTTGAGCATAAGCTCTCATAGCTTTGCTTTGGGCTTCCCGAAAGGCCTCATACCAATGGAGATGTATACCTTACTTATAAACCTATGATCATCCCCTACATTAGCCAATGTGGGACTCCCTCCAACCATCCTCAATAATCCTCCCCTCAAACAAAGTACTCCATAGAACCTCCCTTGAAGCCTGTGGAGTCCTCAAACAGCCTCCCCTTAATTGAGGCTCGACTCCTTCTCTGGAGTCCACGAACAAAGTGCATTCTTTGTTGTACTTTGTTTGATGAGTCATTTTTTACTACACCTTCGAGGCTCACAACTTCTTTGTTCGATATTTGAGGATTATATTGATATGACTAAGTTAAGGGCATGACTCTAATACCATGTTAGGAATCACGATTCTCCACAATAGTAATAAAATCTTATGGCTTTGCTGGGGCTCCCCCAAAAGGCCTCATGTATTCCTTACTTATAGACTCAGGATCATCTCCTAAATTAGTCAATGTGAACTTCCTCCCAATAATCTTTTAATTTCAAAGGTTCAATGTAATCACTGAACTAGACCAGAATGTGATTCCAATAAACTCAAATACCCCCAAAACAAAGCATAATTAGATACTAAAAAGTAGGAATACTCTACGGAAAAAAGAGAGATTCAAGAATAAGCCCAATACGCATCAGAAAAGCAAAACAGAGCAGCCCAATCCACAACCATCAGAAGTTAAATAAAAAGCCTAGAAGAACAATGGTAAACCTGAAATTCGTTCGGTGGGGACGGCATTAGGAACAGCGCCAATCCTGGAAACCAGAGAAATAGTGAAAACCCAAAGCCAGAGCTTCATCATTGCCGGCCTCAAGAGCCCAAATCGGGGTATTGAAGTGATGAACAAGCAAAAACCGAAATGGATTTTGGGTGTTCCGTTTGGGAGAGGACAATGCTGAGTGAATTTTAAGAGCTACAAGACCCAAATGGTTGGGACGTCGGGAGGTAGGTTGTTGGAAGAACAAGGGTTTCTTAGAAATTTGGTTTAGAGACCAAAAAGGAAATATAAACATTTTCAACGCACGGAGAGAGAGAGCGAGGGGAAATTGGGTGAAGAACAGTGAAATTACATCAAGAACTGAGAATCTGGCATGGCAAAGGGTTTAGAGAATAGGCAGAGTTGGAGCTGCATTGGTCGCTACGAAGCCCAAATCTCTCGTAAGCCATGGAAGATGGCTCAAAAGCTAAACTGATTTTCCTGCTCCGAGAAATGGACCTTCAACCTTCCGCAGGTCTGCTTTCCGCATCACCTCCCCGCCAAATTAAGAAAAAGGGTGCAAGTTCATAAAATTAAAATATATATATTATTGCAAAAATTGCTCCTTTAAACCTTAAAATTTTCAAAATCTTGTCACTCACCTGCTTTTTTTTTTTAATATTATCCAACGTATAATTGTTCCAAGCACTCGAACCAAACACAATTTACCATGGTGAGGTTTCGATGTTCAGTAATAAAGAAGGTTTACATTGTCGATAATAGTGAATTTTAATTTTTTTAAATATTTATTATTCATTCTATCTTCGAGATCACTCTCATTCGAATGTGTGGTCTATTAAAAGAAATATATATTTGTTATATATTGTTAATGTGCTCAGTAAATTTCAAGATAATTGTTTTTTTTTTTAAATTATGTCTATATAGATCGGTGTTTGGAGTGAACAATATTATATAATTATTATGATCTAAAGAAGGAGGGGACTTCAACAAGTGGATGGACACGTGTCATGAATAAATAAAATAAATAAGGATGACATGTGGCCAAAATCCCACCAAAATTGGAAAAATCTTTTTTTTAATTATATAAATAAAATAAATATCACGACAATGAAAATAAATAATCGGTTGTAACCGTTTCTATAATGATAATAATAACAATGCATATTGAGGTCATAGTTGCATGGCAGAAATTAAATTTTTTATATATCTAAATTAAATTATATGTTTTTTTGTTATTTGAGGGGTTAATTTGTATTAATATTCCAATAAAAAACAGAAAAATATAAAATATAAAATAATAATTTAATATAAATTTTTGAAAATATATTTATAGTAAGTGTACCGGTGGCGGGAATCATTGATTACGGTGCCCACGGCTGGTTAGTTGGTTGGCATGACTTTGTAAATAAATCAGAAAATGATTCTTACCAAATCTCATAATTTCTTCGGAAATAAATAATTATTTTTTTTTTAAATAATTTATTTATAAAATTGTTATGGAATTTAAAGGTGTTGGATTTTATTTTTTTTAAATTATAAAAGCCATTTAAATAATTTTTATTTATTTTTCGTTTTGTGGATAATTAATTAAAAAATGAAAAAAAAAGAAAAAGGACAATATGCTGATGCTTCTTGACAGTTCATTTTAATGTGAAATCCGGTTAAATCGCTGAAGACGGCGCGTTGAACTACACGCATTTAATTGACTCGTCATTTTCCTCTCCGTTTTCGCGTCTCTCTCTCTCTCTCTCTCTCTCTTTCTCTCTCTTCTTCAACCTCTGTAAATGGCGAGGGAGCGAAGGAGAGAGATCTGGTAGTACAAAATCTCCTCTCCCGATCACTCAGCCTTCGTTCATGGCGACTCCTCTTTCGAGGTCCGAAGAGCGCAACGTAACGTCGATGGAAAAGTCAGCGTGGACGGAGCAGGAGGAAGAAGAAGATGAGTTCAAGGAGTGTCTTGAAGAACCGAATGGTTCTGTCACGCCTGTGTTCGAAGATAGTTTGGAGAGCAATGAGGTCGAGAAGCAGAAGGTCGTGATTATGAGAGCTTTTGTTGAAAGAGAAGACTCCTCTGCTAAGGTTACTTACTCCTCTTTCATTTACTGATCCCATTAAGATGGAGAAAATTTCGCTTTCCTGCGTTTCTTTTGTTTCATTGAAGTTCGATTGGTTTGATTTGTGTTTCTCTGTCATAATGTTAGCCATTCTCTCAAATCCAAGCTATTGTGGTTCTTTTGAGAATTTTGGCTCCTACTGAAAAGATCTTGCGGATTTTTTCTCGAGAAAATTTGCAACCAATGGCTGGATTTGATCTTTTCTAATTTCCTGTTATTCTGTATTCATTTTGCTCTGGTTCCGTTCTACCTTTCCATGGGGGGATCAAGATGTTTTTGCCTCTTTTAACTTATTTCAGAGGTAACTATGAGTTACGCTCTTGCATTCCTCAAATCTACTAGTAACTTTTAAATCTTTGAATCCTCCTTTTATTCTTCAATTAGTTGACCATACTTTAACTGGAATTGACGCCACAATTTATATCATAAAGTATAACCATTTTCAAGATATACAGGTACAATTTGCCGCTTTGCGGATTATCCATATTTTAAAAATATCCAAACCTAAAGCAAGAGCAATTTGGCATATATAAGAAAATCTTGTGAAATGGAAACTGTGGCGAGTAATTGAATAAATTTCCATTTTGAGATAAACTTAAAATTCTTCTTACCAATCTGAGCTCGTGATTGACTTCAAGAATGCAGGATGTAGATGACTTCATGATACGAAGGTTTCTCCGAGCTCGTGATTTAGATATAGAGAAGGCTTCTGCCATGTTTCTGAAGTACCTGAGCTGGAGAAAATCAGTTATTCCTAATGGATTTATATCAGCATCTGAGATATCGACCAATCTGGCTCACAACAAGTTGTTCATGCAAGGTGTTGATAAGAAGGGACGTCCAATTGTAGTCGGCTATGGTAACAGACACAAACAAGGAAATATAGAAGAGTTTATTCGTATGTTATGACTTTGAGCTCATGTGTATCCAAATTTGAAGCCTCTCTTATTTGCTTCACTTAAAAATCACAGATGAAGTGTATTATTTATCTTTTATCCTTTTGCAGGTTATGTGATCTTTGCTCTCGAGAAAATATGTTCCAGGTAGTTTGTGCTTCTCAAATACTTCAGTTGTTTTCATTTTATTTAGTTGGTTCCAATAGAAAATGGTACCGCTTGAAGGAGAGAGAAGGATTCTGGAAAGCCATAGAATATCTTGGGAATTGTTAGAGAGTAGCTTTAGGGAGAATCTTCATTCACCATGATTATCCCCAAACATTTTATAGCAGCATAGATTACAGAGTGAACGACGAAACCTTTATGAATATTATTATTATTCATTGTCCATTTCTGAAAATAAGCTAATCCTCGAGTGACAGATTTCAAGTAAGCCGTGATTTATTTCTTATTTGTTCTATCTTTCAGGATGCCAAGAGGACAGGAAAAGTTTGTGTGTATTGGCGACCTTCAAGGATGGGGATACTCTAATAGTGATATTCGGGGATATCGAGCCTCTCTATCAATCCTACAGGTTTGACATTTGAACAAACTGCTTGAAAACTTGACTAAAAAAAATTTGATGCTAAAGGGATGCACCACCTCACTATTTTTGTAACTCTCAAGACCATAAGAATCTTAGTGATTCCACCGTTAGTAAGGTAATAGAATTGCATATCAAGTAGTGTAACAGTTATTTGATTGTGTTGCTTTCAGGATTGCTACCCAGAGAGGCTGGGCAAGTTATATATCGTCCATGTCCCTTACATTTTCATGACGGCATGGAAGATGGTTTACCCATTTATCGACAAGAACACCAAGAAGAAGGTAAAATTTCTATCGCGTTTCTCCTGAAGCAGATTCTTGTGTGCGCAAGTGCGAATTTGCACAATTTGAATGGTACTTGGGTTTTGTTTTCTAACCACTTTCAAACTGTGTTATACGGTGTTCGTAGATAAAGTTTGTGGAGGACAAAAAGCTGAGATCCACGCTGCTCAGTGACATTGATGAGAGCCAGCTCCCTGATGTGTATGGTGGCAAACTTTCGCTAGTTCCAATCCAAGACCGCTGAATTATGGTTATACTCATTCCAGTCCTCTCAACTTTTCTGCTACTTGTGTTCTAGTTGTTGGTAACGTTATATTCAATAAAATTAAACTCTATAAGCTTTTACTCGGGAAACAACTCTATCAGACAACTTCTATGGTAGAAAGTTAATGAATTACAAGACAACTTATTCTTAGTTCATCTTTTCCTAGTTTTGGTTCGTAAAGTGAAGTATTATTTTAAATCTTGTTCTTCAAGCTCCAAAAGTGATATGTTAATTGAAAAAAAACGGTCATTTTGATTCATTTTCCCATTGGAGAATTTTAGTTTATCAAATCTCCAAATATTCCCCATTCTCGTCGGGTTGCAAGAGAATTTTCACGCAACCACAGAGAATATGATACACATAAACGGGTTATTACCGCTGAGTACGTTTAAAAGAAATCCCAATTGCACGAATCGAACCAAATTCCACACAAAAAGGAACTTTGAAGTCTTGTTATTACAAGCAATTAAGAGGAATGGCATGCATTATGGTTCCGTTCCCTTGGAACAGACCATTGACGACTACAGCGGTCAACAAAACCAAAATCAAACTCTGACTATTTACCGAAAGCTTAGCCTAGTAGCAGATGAATTGTCATAATAAGAGAATGGCAAATTTGCTTCACCATAGCTAAGACTACCAGAAGCTGGTCCTCCTTGAGGCAAACCAGCGTAATCTCTCCCCCCATCCTGAGATGGAAACCTGTGCTGTGAGCGATATGGAGATGGCAACCTGTTCTGTGAATGATATGCTGCTTGTGACAAAGGAGCAGTATGTGAGGCCGTAGGAGACAACCATTGGCTGTAGTAACGAGGAATAAAATCTATGCGAGCATCATCTTCTCGATCAGACTGCAAGTGTGGTGTACGATACCGGCGCCCATACACATCCCGGAGATCTCCATTATCATAGGTCTCGATCGGATTGCGAATACTGTTAAAGTACAAAGGAACATGCATCATGGGTTATCAACTTATATAGCTCCAGTACCAGTAAGAAGAAAAATTTCCAAAAAAAGCCAGCCACTTGCATAAACACGTCTAAAGTAGAATACAACTGCATAAAAAAACCAAGCCCACAAATCCAACTAAAAGAAGAGGTTTCAATCAAGTAAAATAAAGACCAAATGAATAAGGCATGTCACCGAAGTCCAAAGGGAAAACATAGACTCAGACTAGGACTAAACAACACTAGGTGACTCGAAAACGACTCAACCCCTGCAGTCCATAACTTGAATATATTATCGTTATCTGCACTCATTCTAAAACAGTTGGACAACTTGCAGAAAGAAAAGCACAGAATGACCCAAAAGAGATATATTTAAGACGATAAAAAGAAAAATATATATATATACCTTTCATATGAATTTATAGGGTATCTTAAAGAA